GCATATGTACGTGATAAAACAAATAGTAGAACTACTTCTATTACATTTATTCTATCTACCCGTACAAGCACAGGCCTTCGAGATTACAACTTGTAAAATTACCCACACATGCGTGGGCCTTTGTCATCGAACGGTCTCCACCTTGATCTAATCTCTAACGATACAAAATTTAAAATTTTACAAATTTCATCTCAAGAGACTCGCAGGTCTCGATAAATTACATTTCTTCAATCATATTGAAAACATAATTAAACATCCATTCATTCATTCAATCATATTGAAAATGAAAACATCCATTCAAACATAATGAATATGAGGCTCATGATCATCCCTAAAACATTCATCTAATGAAATGAACATAAAATATCAATTTATGAGTCACACGACTCGTGTGAGGGTCACACGACCCGTGTGATCTTATCACACGACTCGTGTGAAAAATACGAATTGAAAATCAAAATTTTTCCCAGACTCACACGACTCGTGTGGCTCGTCACACGACTCGTGTGAGCTCACACGACTCGTGTGACAAGGTCACACGACTCGTGTGAAAATCACGAAGCTAAAATCAAAATTTTTCTTCATGCCACACGACTCGTGTGACAAGGTCACACGACTCGTGTGGCTTAAAAACGATTTTTAATTTTATAATTAATATTTTTATCATATAAAAAATTAATTATATTGCTTATCTCATAAGTCTTAACAAATCAAAATCTGTTTTAAAGACGATAACCGTGGCTCTGATACCACTGTTGGGTTCGATAGTACCGTACGGGCTGTACGCAGCGGAATTTAAAATTTTTAAAGTAAGTATTTATCGTATAAATACAACACCCGTACATACTAATTGCGAATTAACTGATCGTCATCTTTAAAACATGCATCATATACAAATTTTGATTTGTTACTATAAAGTAAATACTAGTAAAAATATTTACCGAATGTCTTGAACTCCTTCACTATTGATGATGGATGAGGGAATCGGTTCCCGGTTGTAACTTCAACGACTTGAGGTTACTCGCTAGAGGAATCCAAGTGTCTTCCCTCTAAACGTATCCACCCTATGAAGCCCGGTTCCGACGACTTTCCTTCGCTAGTAGAAAAGACTCGGTTTTCTTGTATAGGAATATTTATGAATTTTATTTGGGAATTTTAAGAACTCTTTCTTGAAGTTTTATGAAGAACACTTTCTTCTCTTTCTAACACTTAGAAATTTAGGATCAAAAACTTCACTTAAATGCAAAACCATTTTGCATATATTTATACTAAACATTTTAGCATAAAATAATCAACATTTAGTAATATTAAATAAAATCAAATTTTATTTAAATAGTATTTACTAACTTTTGACTTTGAAAATAATAAGATATGTTAAGTAGTTCAAACAACCATCAACAACCATTTTATTATAATCATATTTATTATTTTAATCCTTAAATCATATTTAAAGATATAAATAATAATTGGATAATAAATCTTGAGAATCTTTCTCAAGACTTTATTATTATATCATTTTCCCAATATTATAATAATCATATTATTATTATTTTGGATTTTTGAAATTTAAAATCCTATTTTAAAATTCAACTTTATTAATTTAGTAATTACCTTAATTACTAAAGTAATATCCAAAATGTAATTAATCAATCTTATTGATTAATATATTCCTTTAATTGATATCTAATCAAATTAGATATTTATCAATTAATTCTAACCATTAGAAATACAATCTTTACCTTTGTTCATAATTAGTGTGACCTTTTAGGTTCACCTTAATACTAGTAGTGGGTTTACAACACTTTGTAATTTGAGTTAAATCTTATTAACTCTTATTCATGAATTAACCCTTTAATTTATGAACCCACATATCATGGTAACACCTAGCAAGTAGCATGAATCTAGTATTAAGTGAATAGCGAGTAAACCTATTCCGATTACAACTCCATACATGTAAAATCCTTTCGACATCTAATTTCCCGATTAAGTCTTGGGTATGATTTTGTCGAAACCCAAATTGACTTAATAACTATGATTCTATTTCATGTTTATTAACCCGGTTATGAATCACTATTCATCTCTGCCTTGGCCAAGGACTTTGGATTAATAACTATGAAACACATAGGAAATTCACTTATCTTCATAAGTGTCGAATCCTTTATTGGCCACTAACAAACTTCCATACATATTAACATAATACCCAACTTATCCCTTTAAACGATAGTGCTAGCTACCAAAAGGATAAATCAAAGTAGAATGTAATATGCACAAAGTTACCATTGTGCCTCAAGTCTTAGGATTAGTCATGTACTATTGTAACATGAAAATTCTTATTCGACTGAATAAATTCTTCATTAAGAATTTTCATACGGTCATGTTCAGTGAACTTGTTCTCTAACAAGCACCCACATAAATGTACTTACGTCTTACGCTAATGTTGATGGAATGCAACATTCTTGTCCAACAAGCATACAAACTATGTGCAAGTCTTTTATGGATTATTCGATATCCCATCTCGAAACATCCATCGACTTGGAACTGTATTTAAGATCACGGCTTTCAAGGTATGTTCCATGATCACCATCTCTATGCGCAACCATACCTTATAACCATAAGTGATCTAGGGATTTTATCTTAAGTGCAATTATAAGATAAATGTTTTCTCTTAAGATAAAGAAATGCCTTATTCATAATATAATTCCAATAGACTGTATTTACAAGTAGAATACGTCCAATTAGATTGGAACGCCGGGTACCCTACTCTAACAACAAGACGCCTACGCTACCTTCTTATGTTTTGTGCTCAAACGTCATCATAACTGTTGACCTGACTGCTCCAACCGCCCAACTAAAGCGACTTTTTGTATGAATCCTAGATGATTGGATCCCTCGAAAACCGTGTAACAAAAAGTTACTATAAATAGTGTAAAATTCCCTCAGGAGAAAGGGGGACTGATTTTAGTACTACATTCACCTCGGTGAAGAACACACCAACCAATTACCAACAAATAAAATTTCCTTCTCTTGCTATTTACTGCTTTAATCTCTGTCATAAATACGTTATTGATGTTGTTACAAATCCATACGACAACACAATCTTAAGGCTATCGTAGCTCAAAATGGCTGCTAATTGCCTATTAATCACACGCATGGGGTCAAACCGCAAAGGAAAATGAGAGACTTGGTGGTATAGGCTCGGTCTAATGGGCTCGGGTGCGGGTGGACGTGCGGCTAGGGCCACACTCGCGTGCGCTTTGATTTTTCTCGGTACTTGGCGAGTGAAATGGCATTTCTAAAGCTATAATGAACGAATTCACATGCCCAACATGCTAAGGCCCTCGAGGTTCGAGGTCTCGGTGGCTGGTTACAAGGGTCCGATAGCTCGATGGCTCGAGTCGAGTGGTGTTGAGGCTAGGGCTCGACTAGGGTTCAGAAACTCGATTGAGAATATTTCGAACCTAATAATGAAATGATCTAACATATATATAAGCACAATTCACATATAATCACATAATTCATGCCATAGTCTTAAATCAAACAACTCGAAAAAAATTGAAAAAAATATCGGTTTCACTTTGTAGTCGAGCAAGTGAAACCGTTCTAATATTATAACTGATCGGGGCGTTACACTATAATTTGGCAAAGTCCAAAAATCCACCCCGTCGTTGACCACTTTCAAACTGAGTTCAATAATTTGACAATTTAATCAGTTTTGGTCTCTTTTTATCCGCACCCTGGATAAGAATTTGATGTGGCGTGACGTGGCATGTATTTTATTGACATGGCGTGATTGTAGTTTATGTGGCGGGATTAAATATTGACATGGCGTGTATTTTATCTTAGTTGGAATTAAGTAAAACTTTTGAAATTGCAAACTAGTCCATAGAATTTATTAAATTTTTAAAAGACGAGCCCCTGCAATTTCAAAAGTTTCAAAAACTAAGCATCCGCCGTCCGCCGCCAATGCTCCGAATGTCGTTTGCCGGCCGCCTCCGATCGGAAAAATTTGTACATCATCTTGAAATTCTTCTCATTCTTATTCACCTCCTAAAATTTTCGGTGAAAATTCCACCGTTAAGGCCGTTAATTGCTCCGGTCAAAGTTTTTAGATCCAGAATAAACCGATCAAAATCCAGTCTTCTTCTTCAAATTTCCAGCGATTCACGGCGACCCACCGAAATTCAAGGATACCTTCGGACTCCTTGGGCCGCCACGCACCAGACGAAATCCATCATCTCTGAAACCGGCGATTTTTTCGGACAAGTACAAGTGCCAAGATACATTAGAGCTTGGACTTTTTTTGGAAACGCACAAAATCATAAGATCAAGAATTGCACATATATTATGTCTCAACAAGTCTCCAGTTTAAAAAATTTAGATTACATAATTCCTTTGAAACAAAAAAAGAGCAAGCAACAAGCGTCTCCCTCACACCAAAAAATAAAATAAAATNATTAAAACGGAGTCTGGTGGGTGTTCTTTCACTTTGGTTTTAAATTTTTTTTATTTTATTTTTTGGCTTTATTTATTATTTTTTTATTTTTTATTTTTGGCTTATTTCCACTTTGGCATAACAATTTCACTTTGGTTATTTTTTTTTTATTTTATTTTTTGGCTTTATTTATTATTATTATTTTTTTTATTTTTGGCTTATTTCCACTTTGGCATAACAAATTTTTTGGTTGTAAATTGATTTGACTGGATGCCACATCATGCCACGTCACATTTTTATGCAGGATGCGGATAAAAAAAGATCAGATTGATTAAATTGCCAAATTATTAAATCTAATTTAAAAGTGGTTAATGACAGGGTGGATTTTTTTGCCTTTTGGCCAAATTATAAGACCAAATGACAGCTCATCAGATAATAATTTCAGCACCATTTCACACACCTTCCTATCTATCCGGGAAAAAAATTAGAGAAAAATATAAAAAGATAACTCCTCCAAAAACAAAAAAACTACATGAAATTTTCTCCAGCCCCATAAAATGCAGTTACTTCAGTGGTAAATATACAGCAGATTGCTTTCCAATGTATCTCTTTCATCTTCCTTCAACCCTTCTGTTCCGGAGTCCACTACAAAACTGCACTCATCTCCAAATGATCAAGTTCCACCAAAATCAAACTCCCACTATTGATGAAAATTTTAAAAAGCAAACACAGACACATTTATACATACTGCCAGCCTAAAAGCATTTTTACTTCTCCAAAATTTTCCCTCGGTGATGTTTCGGATGAGACCTTAAACGGACCACTGGAACCAAACGGGTCAATGTCATCAAAAGAATAGTTGCTGCTGTGTTCGAAGCCCCTTGTGCTGCTCATTGAGTCGAACCTACTAAAATTTTTCTGACGAGGGGAAGAGCCACGATCATGAGTGCTAAATGAATCATATCTAGAAAAGCTGTCAAAAAATGGATCTCCCGACTCAACACTGTATCTCGGAGAATTGTCGGGAACAGAATCTTCAAAGTTGAACAGATTGTTTTTTCGGAATCCATCGCCTGTGTGAGGTGAGCCGTTTGCATCTGGGACATTAGACCCAAAGAAATATTTCTCGTCGTGCTTCTCAGCATCTGGGTCCTTAGGGTAAAATCGTAATGATGGTAGGTGCACAAAAGAAATTAGATGACCCAAAAATGGAAAAAAAGATCCTGTCATATTTCAAAATTACAATTGGCCACTCCAAGTTTGTATTTACTGAACAAATCCCCTCTCAATAGTGCAATTGGTGAAACAGAAATATATGTCAATGGGATGCTTGTATTTCAGAAGATTGATATTTTCTTTGGCAACTGGTTATTAGGCTATACCTCCTGTCAGGGTAAATATTGTACTTGATTTACTAAACTAATTTATTAAAAGCAAATGAAGTAACAACAAAGATGCACAATGCCAATTTTCCAATTCCCCAAGAAGTCATTAGTTTCCTTTTTCTTTTCTACATATAATTTTGCTAGACAGTGCAAGAGAATGGAGATGTCATAATAGTCGTGGCTATTAAACACAATCAATCCATGAACAATTATCCTCGCATGTCCAAAGTTACCTCTTAAGCAATTGAAATATTCATAAGCAATTTACATATCGTGTAGTAAATGTGATGATAAGTTTGGCACGTCATGAACATATAAGAGCAAGCATACTGCAGACTACTCACCTTAGCATTGAAGCCCCAGACTGAGTCAATATCATCATTGTTGTCAAAACTGCCCCAACTTGGCTCATCAAAGCTTCTGCAGATCAAGGGAAGACATAAAAAAAAGTGGGAGAGCATTTATTTATGTATATAGAAACCAAACACACAAACCTGTGATTTTCAGCATCATCACCAGAGCTTTTTCTGAAATGTTCTCGAGATGGACTACCAGTAGTTTGCCTCCCAGGATTTCCTCGTGAGCTCTTTAGTTCATCCGCACTATACACTGATTCTGCATCGAAGGCACTGGCGAAGAGTTTTTCAGATGTCGTGGCATCATTTGACTCCTGGTCTGGGGAAAAGCTACCAGTTGGGGAAGAATTTTCTCTCTGCTCTGACAGCGATTTCGCATTTTCAGGAATGGTAACATCAAAAGAAAACCCTATACAAAGTAATTTTTTTTTACATGTCACCACAATTCTTTTTTGTTTTCACTATATATATGTACTATCTATGCATGTGTATATAATATACACACTAGTATAATGCCCCTGTGTTGAATTGATAAATTTATGCATAAAAATTTCTAAAAAGTAGAAACAAAAGTTATTATATAAAAAAAAAAAACACCCATATATTACATGGTAATATTTAAATTACATTAGCTTAACACTAGTGTATGCCAGAGGTTTCTCAAACAGAAATAAATTTTCAAACTCGTATAGTAATTAGGATTGATAGATAAATTTAATTAATTATGATTGATAATGATTTTTTTTTCCAATTCGGACGTCTCTGAAAACAACATTATCATTTTATTTAAACAACACTCGTCATTCATTAACCACGAAAATTTTAATCACATTAGTTTTCATATCATATATAGCGCTTATCAGTAATATATGTCAACTAGAGCTGATAAATAAATATATCTCAATTGATGAATATATTTTATTATTTTTCCAAATGAGTAAAGATAATTTAATATTTATTTACAAAATGAGATATAATTATTTTTTTCTCTTATAAAAGCAATATGGATATCAAATCGAATATAAGCAAAATATGATTAGTTTGATATATCATATATGAAAAACATAAAACAAATAAAAAAAATGAGTGCTAAAAGATATTTATATTTTAAATTAGTCGAGTGTTTCACTATTTTAAATGTCCAAAACCTGCATGTATAGAAGTCCATGTCTACATGGCATACTCCCAACCACCATAAATCGGCAAATGGGATTACAACCCATAAAATTGACATATAGGATTCCGGAGCACCAGAAGTTGACACTAAGACTCGATCTCTAAATTTGTATATATGTAGGAATCTAAAATTGAGTTGGAAAACAGAAGAAATAAGTGTGATTGAAAGAGTCAAGGTTTACCCAGATCATCACATATAGTAAGTGCCAAAGACATCTACTTAAGAACAATGATAATAGAGGATCAAGGATGAAAATATATAATGCCGAATAAGAAATGAGAAACCTTCATCCTCAAACTTGTCCCAGTCTTCATCCCATATCGCTGCTACCTCTGGAACTCCAGGTTGCCAACCTTAAGAATTACAAAGTATAGTTATGCATTTTCTTTGTGGAGCATCCAAACACAGAATACACTTGCATGGAAAATGGACTACCAAGTACCAACACAACTACTTCAAAATAGTTTATTCAGAATTAGACCCAAAACAAGGAAATGAGACATGCAGATCCCTTCATACAATTGTTTCTTCTCGTTTGTCCTCTTTGGGGCCATCAAGAATGCAGGTTTCAATTTAATCATCCATTTATCGAAGTAGTAACATAGTCTATCAATGTAAATAGCAAAGATAAACGATAAAAAACAAAACGAAAAAGACGGAGTGTGTTATATCTTCTCAACTCCAGAGAGAGAATGTAAAATAACAACAGGTAATACTGCCAAAATTTACATGATTACCTGGAGGAAGCTCAATTAATGAGGATGACTTGATCTCCACAGAGTGCTTCTTGCCACGATCGCCCAAAGCCTACATTAGTTCCTCAAGATCTGATTGTATACGATCAGCAAGCACCTATACAGACCGGGAACACACAGAATTTCAAGTGGATAGAAGCTTGTAAAACATCAATATGCTACAGCTGTACTGACCTGAAGAATACCATCAGCACTTCCACCTTGTTCCACTTTAGTGATGGCTTGTTGCAACTCCGACTTCTTTGCCTAGAAAATCAACATATTTTGCACTCGGAATCATAAGAATCATAAAAGGTGATACGAGTGCAGCAATAGATTTACACTACAGGAGGATGTAGTTAAGAACATGATGAATATTATGAAATGCAAACAAATCAACACATGGTAAAACATGTTTCATTTTCAAAATTCAAGAATGGCCACAAGAGTTAAATCGTCATGCTCTCCCCTCCACCATAGAATACTGGAATGGACCCCTCGGTCTAAAGGTTAAAAGTGTGTTACCTCGGTCAAGAAAAATACTTTTGCAGATCAAGAAAATAAGAAAATACGCCAAAAATGCAAAAGAAACACGAAAAAACAACAAACCGGAAATAATAAAACATCTTTGGTTGGGGTAATTGTACCTACAAAGGGTCTTAGGGGCATAAGCATTAAGCAGGAATAGATAAGTAGGCAAAAGATGGTTGTGTGGCTCAGGAATAATACGATATTTAGTGTGGACAAGTTACAAAAAGTGGTTAGAACAAGGATAGGAACTTGAAGAAATAAGGTGCTAAATGAAGGCAGGCTCAAAAGTATTCATGTGTAGACAGTGTGCCAATGGTTGGAGGAAGAATGGTTTCCTGTAATTTCAAAAACTAGTCCACTGTTTTTTGGCAAAATACAGTTCACTTCAAAGAGCTGAGCCAGGCATTAATTCAGAAACGAATCTCACCATAAACCCTAATTTATTACAAACTTATGCCAGTAAATTGTGAGTGTTATACATAAATTACCTGGATTTCACGAAATGCAGCTTCTTCAATAGTTAACTTAGAATGAATTTCAGCAACTTGCTTATATTTCTCCTGGTATTTCTTTTCCAGTAACTCGGCCTGGAAATTAAATGGTAATCTCGCTAAGAAAATAATTAAAGTATCTATGTATCATAAGTCATACCCCCAAACACACAATGGAGCTGAATGCAAAAGCAGAATTCTAATCTTCAAAGCATACCTCATTTTTGTCAGCTCTAGCCCTTTCAGTAATTTCATTGAGCCTATATATCGCATATACTTTTATACAAGACCTGAAAGGCAATTTTAAATAAGGGACAGAAGTTTGGAAAACAAAAAGTGCATAATCAATCATGGGTTTGCCTGCACTTATCCACAAGGACATAAAAGATACAGCATTTTACAAGATATTCTTTGAGCTGATAATCTGTCATACCTTGTTTTAAAAATAAGTTTCTGAAGTGTTTGATTATAAGAAAATGCTTTAATGTATAAAATGTTTTAAATGATATACACAAAATAACTTATGACATGCTACAAAATAAGTTGGAGTGTAGATTTTTTTTGGGAGCTTATAAGCGCTTAAAAAGCTTATCTTTGCATCTCATAAGCTATTGTTTTATACAAAAATTAACAAACAAAATTTGTGGGCCTATTTGATCAAACATTGTATGAGATGTTTTTAAGAGCTTATAAAAGCTCTGCCAAACACCCTTGTATATCAACTGTAAATGTAATATGATGAAAAAGAGTGAAGTAAAAAGCTAAATGAAATAAACCATGAATTACGATAATTATAAATGTAGACTATGCAAATCTATGTAATGATGGAAGATAATGAAACAAGATTAGAGTAAACTCACAAGGTCTTGCATTTTTGTTCGATAGAATTCAAGCTTTTCTCTGAAATCCAGAATCAGCTTCTCCTTATCAACCTAGCATTGATCAAAAGAAGTGTGCCATGTTTTACGAACGACGCTACTTCAGTAAAATGCAAGCTAACGAGTTAATGTAATGCTAGCAGCAGCCCGCCCCAAACAAGAGCTGAACCGCATGACATTCAATAAGGTCAAGTAATCAAATACATGACTGGGCTTAATTTCTCAGGAAACAAATCTTCACATAAGAATTATCGGACTTGATAATGTGACATGCCCCTTAACATCCTTACTCAACGTATTACTCTCATTTAACCTATTTATGTCTTTGACTCTTTGCCAGATTTAGCATAAAGGAGTGCCTGAAAAAACCTTTTCACAGGCAACATTCCGTGAAAATAAAAATACAGATTTGAAACATGCAAATATTCAGGCATGCTATACGCTCCATATTTTCCAGTACATTATGCGATAAAATTCAAATAAATAACAAGATAATCTGAAATCCATTTGATTCACAAAGAGCTCAACACTCAACAGTCTCTTGGATGAGGACACCAGATTGAAAAACAAAAGGAAAGATCAGGCAATACCAATTCATTTGTTTCAGTAGCCTCCTGATCCTTAGCATCCAAAGAATTTGCATCACCATTACTAAGTTGATTAGCATAGGAGTTATCTACTGTAGGACCTGGAGCGCTTTTCTGATTGAACTGCATGGATCCATCAGATTGAACAACTATAGGCTGCATTGGAGGCCTTAAACCAGCTGACGTAAAGGGCTCGGAACCATGGAAGCCCTGCTGCGGTCTTGTACCTGAAGGTGAAGGACATAAGTGAAACCACTTACAGCTAACAAAAGTTGAACAGCTGATGAACCAAGTAAATTATTACCAGTAGCGAGACCCCACCCCGCACTTCCATAAGCTGTAGGTGGACCCGCCAAAGACAACAAAGTTTCATCAAGCACGACACTATTGGGCAGCGTAGAGGGAAGCTGGCGTCCTTCTCTGTACTGCACCATTAGATAGAGAGCAATGCAGAACTCCCTCAGGGAAAGCATGCCATCACTATCTTGATCAGATAAATCCCAAACCTGCTTTAAGATCTCTGAGGTGGTCAAAGAAAATAACAGTAAGCATGACATTATCCAAGAATCATATAGATATCTAGTGCACATAAAACAGAAAAAAGTGATCCTTCTAATCCAGATATCATCTAATACTTCCACCTCTTTATTTGGACAGCCAAATCTATAGAAAAACCTCCAAAAATTTTAAACACCAAATTATGCAAACAAAGGGATTTCTCTTATGGATACCTAGGGAATTAAGAGTCGAATATTAAAAATTGATAACGTCCTCCATTACGACAACTTACCAAGCAGCGAAAACAGTGAAGACTAAATAATAAAAAGCAATAACCTGGATGTATGATGCCATTGAGGTGCTTCATGAAATGAAGAATGTATTCGCTGGTTGGAACTAGAGTCAAACACACATGAATTCTCATTACCAGGGAGGGGAGAAATAAGGAGTGGTGACTTCTACTATCATTATCAAAAAAAGCAGTCATCATGCAAAGAAAACTAACTGTTCTGATTATGAGCAGAATCAATCTACCGAGGAACATCAACGGGCAATAAAAACCAGTCACAAGTCAACTCAAACAGTTTGAGAAGGATATGTTACAGATAGTTAAAGGGTAAAGAATTATTAGCACAAGAGATTCTAAGTATAGGAAGCATACATAGAAAGGTATAGGGACGGACACAGCCTTTCCCTTTTACCTCTTGGAAGCCTCCAACTTAAAAAAAGGTTCCGTGCCTGATCGCCAGCAATTTTCCCATCTCGATCAGAATCAACTTCCATAAAAACTTTTACATATTTTTGAATTCCAGCACGTGTCATTTTTTGCCATGGTGCCTGAGTTTAATTGGGAGAGGAACCCCAAAGCCAGCTTGAATCCCAGGAGACAAGACTGAGGAATTCACTTGAGTAGGAGCAGATGGTTTTATAAAAGTACTTTTCAAGGCTTCAAAAGGGTCAGGCTTAGCTGGCGGCTGGGAACTTGGAGTGGCAGGAACAATGTCTGAAGAGATAGGCTGGTTAACCTCAGGTTTTTGTGGCGCAAATGAAACTTTCCATGATGAAGACTGGTTGCCAGAAAACAAATCTGGAGTAGGTCCATTTCCTGAAGTAACCGGTCCTCTAAGATCCTTGGCTGCTGTTGTAGACAATGTTGAAAATAGATCTTGGGAAGCTGAAGAAGCAGGAGAAATAGAGGGATTGAGTCCTCCAACTAAGTTGTTTTGTGTTATTGGTCCAGTGGAAGCGGGATAACTATTCCCACCAAGCCAATCTCTATTTGCGTTTGAAAGACCAGGACCAGCCATGGCACCAGAAATATTGGGACTACTCACAACCTGAGATGGATGTGAAGCAGTAGTAGACATTGATAGAGACGTTCTTATCTGGTTACCTTGAGTTGGGAAAAATTGCTGGTTCACATTTGCACTAGGAGGAATGCGTGGCTGGTTTATACTTGTACTCGTTGGTTGTGCCTGACCAAGTTGCTGGTTGATTGTAGATGCAGGTTGAGATTGTGACGATATCTGGTTAATTGTAATTGCAGGTTGTAACTGTGGGTACTGCTGACTCGTGCCAGAACTTGAAGGTGGGGTTCCACGCAGTTGCAGCTGGTTTGTGCCTACAGATGAAGGCATGGGTTGGGTCATGCCAGTATTTGATTGCACAGCACCAAACTGCGGGTTTGGACTAGGAGTTGAAGGAGGTGGTCCTCTGAACCCATAATTTTGAGGAGATTGCTGTCTAGTAGCACCCATCTGTGGTAAAGGAGAAGCAGCTCCTGGATTTGGCTGTGGCACAGGTGTTGCAGCCATATTTATTTGTGGAGGCGGGATTTTAGCAGAAGCAGGGCCATATAGTGCTGCTTTGACAATATCTGGTATCAATTCTCGCTTGCTTTGAGCAACCGTGACAAGCCTAAGAGCATTATAAAACTCAGGACGACTGAGGAAGCCAGTGTGATTGTGGTCGGCATGCGCCCATATCTGCAACAAACCTAAACAATCAATAACATATACAAACTCATTCATCAACAAAATCAGGATCTTCATTCCAATAAAGCTAAGTGACACACCTAAAAAGACTAGAAAATGAAAAGTACATAAATTTCTTTTTTTTAAAAAAAAGAATAAATGAAAGGGTTTCATTCATGAGAAGGAGATTGAAGTACACTTTTTCCTGGTTGCATGGGAAAGAACTTACAGAGTACCTACAACAAAACTGCTAGGACAATGGACATAATTGGGTCCATTCCATATTTCCATGCCATAAGGAAAATCTGTCTCTAAAGGATGCAACACCACACTCACAGCTTTCTTGAAGACAAACTATAGAGAGCAAGAAAGATATCGAAGGGAATGACTATTGGCGCAATATCATTAGCCACTATCCGTGAATCGGTTGAATCGTAGCACTTTGCAAGAGACTAGAGGTATGTCACTCTCGATCACCATGAATCCTTAAGAACACTTATTTACTCATCTCCTTCTCGAATACAAAATTCCAAACTAAGAAGTTCACTGCGTAACCCCAATAGACGGTTTTGCAAACATGCCAATCACTTTAAACAACTAATAAACAAGAACAATCAGTAAAACCTCAACTCATACATCTACGTAGTACTAAATAGCTAAATTATTTGTACTCGTAAACCAACAGAACATCTCTACATCTAAACAGCTCAAAGTCTTGCAGGCTTGAACCAAAGGCATGGATCACATAAACACAAAAAAGAGAAATTTAGTAGAAAAAGGAGATACAATCAGAAAAAGTAATCAAGGTAAACTGAAAAGATGGAAAATGGAATTAACCTGCGCAAGAACTTGCCTCGGCAAATTGGAACCCTGCAAAAAAGACACAGCTTCAGCTCCACTGATCCTTCCGTCCCGATCCAAATCCGCCTTCTGAAAATACTCCTCGAATTTCTCCATATTTACCCCGCCTGCACTCGCCATTTCTACACTTGTTCAGCCTCAAACTCACAACATTACTCAATCCAATCACGCGGCAAAAGCCAGTAACCTAATATTCTATCAGCATGCCCAACAAATGAAATTCTAGGGCTTCTTTACAGACCAAGAGGTGAATCCGTGGGATATTAAGGTGTGTATTCAATTTCTAACTTTTAGAGACTTTTTAAGACTTTTAGAACAATTATAAGTTTTAGAAATTTTTGAAAAGTTTACATGTATTCAATTGAGATTTTTTTAAAGACTTTTGAAAAACTCAGGGTATTCAATTAAAACTTTCTGAGAGTCTCTATAAGTCACCCTGTATTCAAAAGATGAAGACTCTGTGAGACTTTTTAAATTGTGAGACTTTTAGAGACTTTTCTCTCAAAATTACAAAGAGAGTCCCAACAGAAATCTCATAAATATTGGTGAGATTTTGCTGGACTTATGTGATTCTCTTCACGCTCTATTTTTTTTTTCTTTCTAACACGACTTTATATCTCATATCACTTTCATGCTTTATTATTTTCATCATTTATTTTGATACCTTGTATAATTTTTATTTTCATTACTTATATTTAACGTGATCTTTATTTTATATATTTTTTATTATGGTTATTTTATGTATGTATACCTTTATCCTTTCATTTTGTTATCTTGCGAATTTGATTTTCTAAAGGTTAAATGCTTCCATAGTTTGCACTTGCAAATAATTTATTTGTTCTCTCTTTTTATTTGTTAATGTTTATTTTTTAATATTAATAAAATTATTTTATTTTCTAATAATTTATTTGTTGATATTGAATTATTTTGAAAATTATTTATTACTTTATAAAATACAATTACTGTTTTTCGACAATGTTTGTATATTCCATAGTTCGGCTCGTTGAAGCTCGGATTGATTTGCTCGTTTAATAAATCTAAAAATCCTAAACAATTTGTTAGTGAGTAACTCATTTCGTATAACAATGAGTTGATTCATAAGTTTTTAGAGGATTAATATATAAAATATTTTTTTTTCATTTATTTTTTCTTGATATTATTTATTATATACGTTTATTAATGTTTCATTTCCAAACATAATATTATAACTACAAGTATACAAAAGTCTCAATAAGTTTTAAAAATTTCATTATGAAAGTCTTAAAAAGTCACTAATGAGAATTCTCTGAAAGTCTCAACAAGTCTACCAAAGTCATGAAAGTTTTAAAACGTCTACAAAAGTCACCAAATTTAAAAAGTTTAAAAAGTCCTTAAAAATCTCAATTGAATACAACCCCCTAAGATTCCAATCTAGGATCCAGANATTTTACTTGTTTTCATATTAATTCTCGCTTATATTTTTGCAAAGTTGCAAGGACATTCAATTATGATGTAAGTTGTACCCAAAAAATTTGACCCAAAAAAAAAAGTTGTACCCCAAAGAAAAATAAAAAAAAAAAATTATGATGTAAGTCGCAGGGGAGTACTGATTAAGGTCGTGTATGGAACTTGATTTTGTGTAAGAATCGGCGCTAACGGCCTTGGATCGAACACGATAAAATGTGTAAACCTGCACTGACGACCTTGGTTGACACTTGACACATTTTTTTTTTTTTTTTTGCACTAGACACTTGACACATTAATAAGTGAAAAAACTACACTATCAGCCTCAATTTTTCACGAAGACAGTACTCAGAAACGAGTCTTTTTCTTAAACTTTATTTCATAAAACTTGATGATCCAACATACATACAAAGGTCCTATTTATAATACTATAAACATCATTCAAATTTAAATATTTAAACCTATAATTAATCCTAACCAACATATTTAAAATTTAAAATAAGGCTAACATAATTTATCTTATCTAAATATAAGAAATTAATATAATGCAACTGCCATGCATATCCACAATCTGCCAACTCCCGCTCATATACTTCTCGAAACCGTCCAGACCATCGCGGTCGAGCCCGAATGCTCGGTTTGCATCAAGTACGTAGAGCACGCGTGTTTAAAACACAAAAATCATAAACCGTAGCAAGATATATATAAAAACATGTTCGAGAAGCTCTTTATAACTCAAAACTCTTTCAATTTTTTTTTCAGTCGATAGAAATCACTCTATTGAGCCACACGTCAAAAGTTCAAATGGGGAAATCCCCTACAAACACCGGCAAGAACCAGGGAGAAACATACACATTGTATGATCTGGTCAAAAACTCTTTCAATTGGTTTGCACACAATATATAGTTTGTACTAACAAGAACATGCTTCCTCCTAATCTACTCCTAATCTAGTCAAAACGCCCGGATCCTTTTATTTATATGAGCTCGACTTTAGTTCTATGAGATAGCAACTTTTAATTATTCCAAGTTCTAAAAGTTTAATTCAAGGCATTAAATTTATTATATTATAAGCATTTAATTAAATTGATAAATCCTAAGTAACAAAAATTAATCCTAAGCTTAAGCCAAGGAGGAGTTGTTTGAAATTTTATTCTGAAACCGAAACAGTTTTACCCCAAGTCCCGTTCCATTTAACCTTAGAAGAATGGCCTCAAACTTGGTCATTTTAATCCGAAAACGAGCCCAAGAAATCAGCAAAAGTGTAGTGTAAAGTAAGGAAGAAACCCTTGGCCCAAAGGAAATTTCCGAGGCCCAATAGGCACAATAGCTTAAAAGGACCGATCCCACAATAGCCCAAATAGCCCAAGCCAAGGTACATTAGGGTTTGGTGCTTTGACTTCAAGATTCAAAATTGAATTGGCAATAAATGCCCAACTACCAAGCCTTGCTTTTGGAGACACAAGGACAAGTAAAAAAGGGGAAAAATACAAGTAACTTTGTACTCTTGTCTCCCCATCCCCTAATATAAAAGGAAGACCACACCCATAGTCTTCATTTTCATTCTCCCACAAAAGATATCCTAAGTAAGAAAAGCATCTCAATTAACCTAGTCTTAGAGATAAAATTTGGTCATCTCATTCCATTTCCGAACATTTTTCGGCAAAGTCCAAACGCCCAAACCGAAGCTCCCGCATGAACACGCCTTGCCGAGAGCTCAACCCTAGCCCACCAAGGACCTCAGCAGCTCAGGCGCGCCTGTGTGCCAGCAACCACACGCGAGGACGCCGAGAGGAGTCCGAAGCCGCACGAGTCACCACCATGCCCGAGCAACTTCTATTTCGTTTTTGAGTCCTGAAGAAGGTAGACAATCTTAAACCCCCTCCTCTGGCTTAGACATGATTTATAAAGGTTATAAAAATTAGTAAACCAATAAAAATATAAAAGATTTAAGAAATAAAGAAATTATGCTATTTATTGCTTAATTTTCATATTAAAATTACATGTGAGATAAAAATAAGATCTCAGCTCCTAAAATCATGAAATAATGTGTAGAGGCCGAGGTTTAAATTTTAGGATTTTTGGAGGTTTTTTGCTAGGTGAAATAGAAATCGAGATTTAGACCTAAATCGACAATTTCATGAAGTTTATGTTATGTGCGAGTACTTGCTGAGATCTTTGACCTAAAATTTTTTGTTGAGCCTATGTATAAAATTTGAGAATTTGGAGGTCATTTGCTAGGGTAACTAAAAATCGAGATCTTGACTTAAATCGACTATTTTATGAAATTTAAGTTAAGGATGAGTTCGTGCTGAGATTTTGTGCCTAAAATCATGTAATATTATGTTGAGGCCGAGGTCAAAATTTGAGAATTTTTGGAGGTTGTTTTCTAGGTGAACTAAAACTCGGTATTTTGACCTAAATCGGTAATTTTTGGAAGTAATGTTATGAATGAGTTCTTGTTGAGATTTGCATGTCTAAAATCCTTATAAATGGGGCTAAGTACACGGCTGAAATTATAGCTTGAAATGAATTAGGTTGTTCGGGAGAACTAGAACACTAGTTCGACTCGATTCTTGGTGCCGAGTAAATTTAAGGTATGTGAATAAATTGTCGAGCCATAATGAACCAGAGGCCTTAAACTATTGAAATAAGTTGGTTAAATTTTTTATGCCCTAGATATGTTGCCAAAAAAAGTAAATAAAAATCGAGACCTGTTTGTCCCATTTTTGTTGCTACTTTTGTGGTATTTTGTTTATCTTTCTTTTCCCACTCTAGGTTGTTTTGTAGGTTTTTCCGGTCATTTGAGTCATTTTGTGCGTTTAGTGTTATTTCTGTATTTTTCGTGTTTTTCGTATTTCTTTCTTCCTATTCTCCTGTTTCCGTGTTTTCTCGGTTGGTGTTGGTTTCAGGTATTCGAAACGCTGCTCTAGGATCGTTCAGCTAGTCGTGCGAACCGACATGTGAAGGACAATGTTCGAGCTCGGGCGGAACCCGGGAGTGCACGAGACAGTTGGGGGCTTATAAGTCGACCGGGGGAGGTTAGGCAAGCTGAAACGGGACAAAAAGCCAGTTTTGTTGAGTTAGCGCCGCTAGGGGTCGCTAACGTCGCTAAGGGACCTAGCGCCGCTGCCATATACTAGCGAGCTGAAGAGAAAAGCCGCTGTCCGAGCATTAGCGCCGCTAGCTAGCAGCTAGCGCGGCTAACCCCCCTCCTAGCGCGGCTAACCCCCACCTAGCGCGGCTAACCCCCCCTAGCGCCGCTAACCCCTCTCTAGCGGCGCTAGCTACTGCTTATCAGATTAGTTCGCGATTCTATTATAATTAGGAGTAGGGTTTGTTTTAGGGGACACTCTTAGACTTATTTTTATGCGCGTTTTGCTGAGGAGAAACACCATCTATCATTGTTTTGCTCTTTAGATTCGATTTTAGAGATTAAAAACCTCTATTATCTTGCTTTGGATTTGGATACTATTGGATTGAGTTCAGAATTTTCATTAATCGTAAGTATTTTTCTTCAATTCTTTTGTTGATGATGATGTCTTGGGTTATGAATGTTTGTGTGATCAAATCCAATATGAGTAGCTAAATTCATATGCTAGGGAATAGGAGGATTAATGTTTTGAATTCGTTTGTGATTGTTGGGATTTATTGATCGTTCTATTTGTACAAGTTATGCTTCAAAAGGGTTTTTCAAATATTGAGCCTGTGTATTGAGAATTATTGAAGAGTGACACTTCAATTTCCAATCTACGATTGAATTCGATGTATTCTCGCATGATAATGGTTATTCTTATTGATTAGTCGGTTGACAACCTTCTAGTCTAATCTA